GTCAACGCGTATTGCTCAATGTAGTGCAACATGTATAGATAACATTTTTACAAATGTGAAGCCGTTGCATAAATGTATAATTCAAAAATTAAGTCCTGATCACTGTGGACAAGTAGTTTCGTTACCTTATGTTCACAAAAAGCAAGTAGATGAGAAAGTTGTGTTTGTTCCAGTAAATGCACGTCGCTTGGAGAAATTTAGAAGTAACATAGTGAAAAAACTTCCATCACTTTCATATCAAAATGATCCAAATTTTTTGTATGGAACATTATTTAAGCTTATTTGCAATGAATTTTATAATACTTTTACTTCTAAAACATTCTTCTTGAACAGTCGGAAGTCATTTAATGAATGGGCGACAGTAGGAGTCCATAAGAGCAGACATAGGTTATATGATCTTTATCATGAAAGGTCATATAATCATAGCGTCGAATTTAGGGAATATGTAAAAAAATATTCAAAAATATTTAAAAGAGTGTGCTCCACAGCTAAATTTTTGCATTTGAGCAACAAAATTAAGACGTCTTCTAATAAAATTAAACTGACATGGAGTATAATTAATAGCGAAACTGGTAAGATCAACTCCCGCAATTCAAACTACCAGTTAAGTGTTAATAACAAATTAACCGAATAAGATCAGGACGTTGCTATGGTTTTTGAGAAATATTTTTCAGATATTTTACAAATGTAAATGCGTGTACAAAGAATTTTACATTTCATAAAGTATCATCAAAAGATATTGTAAAATATTTTAAAACTATTGATGTTAAGAAAACTGCGGATCTGTGGGGAATTTCCGTTAAAGTTATTGCGTCTATATTAGATACAATCGCGCCTCATTTAGCTATTATTTTTAATACTAGTATCGAATCTGGTGTGTTTCCTGATTTAATGAAGTATAGTAAAGTAATACCTTTATTTAAAACTGGTAGTACATAAGAATTTTAGACCTATTTCTGTACTACCAACACAAAAATAAAAATTTATTTAATAGTTAAATTTATTTAATATAAATAATTTACTTCATAAAAATCAGTTTGGTTTCACAAGGGGTCGCTCGACAACTGATGCCGGTGTTGAGCTGATAAATATATATTTAATGCATGGGAGAATTCACAGGATGCTTTGGGTATATTTTGTGACCTATCTAAAGCCTTCGATTGTGTTCACCATGAAACATTAATCAGGAAACTTCAACACTACGGTGTAAGAAGTGATGCTCTTAAATTAATTATTTCATATTTTAGTAAGAGACCGCAAAAAGTTGTTATTAACAGTAAGAGTTCTTCCGGGTCGATGGTACAAATGGGCGTGCCTCAAGGCTCAATTTTCGGCCCCTTTCTGTTTCTTGTATACATTAATGACTTACCTTACATAGTAGGAGATAACCATGATATTATATCATTTGTAGATGACACTTCTTTAATTTTTAAATTAAGTCGACAATTGCTAAAATATGACTAAGTAATTAATGCTATATCTAAATTAGTAAATTGGTTCAGTGTTAATAATTTGCATTTAAATGGCACTAAAAAGAAATGTATGAAATTTATGACTCCAAATGTCAAACAATTAAATACTAATGTAATTTTAATTGGGGAGAAACTGAGTCTTGTAGATACCACCATTTTTCTTGGAATCACACTAGACGCAAAGCTTCAATGGAGCCCCCATATATCAAAACTAGCAAGCAGACTTAGTTCTGCAGCATATGCCGTAAAAAAGATTAGAAGTCTAACTAGTGTTGAAACAGCTAGTGTACACGCCCCTAGCTGCCTCAACCAAGGATGACGGGATTAGGGCCCATAGGTAATCCCATCGACGAGCAGCAGAGGGACGGGGCCAGAATATGGCCACGTGGAATTTCTCTAATTATACTAAATTATATGGGGGAGCGTTCTATGCTACGGCCAGTCGACCGGGAGGGTATTAGACGGAGCTTACTAACCTATATCCAAGGCGACTGGTCCGTCCGGAGTCGGTCAGGTCGCATCTGGTTGTGTAGTGCAAGGGAAATAAGGTGATGTGATGTGTATCTGGGTGTGACTGATGGTGATTGACCCTAGACCTTGGCCGTCGGCAGCAGCCCGGGCGTCGACACCGCTCCAAATTGAGGGAACCTTCCGCGGCGTGGTCCACATTCACTTTCCTCGTTCGTCACGATGACAGTCCATTAACTCTATCGTACGATTAATTAACTTATAGAAGCCACTAACTGTCGTTTGTTCTAAAGCCTAACACACAAAACTAACAGGGAGTGCCCGGATCAAAGGTCACTACCGCTTCGCGTAGCAACAGTTATTTCGAGACTATCCAAGGCCGCACTAGCTAATATTGTCGAATGCACTTATACAGATTCTGAGTCGAACCCAATAAGTCCCGGGAAAGGCTATCCAACTAGGAATGTGCGTTATAAATCCTAGACAGGATATTTACTAGACGCCCTAACTATTCTGCGGTTCCCGCACAAAAATTGACAGCGTGCAGACATTAGCACAGCTAGCAGACGCATGCTGCGCTTGCGCGTCCTACGCGCGACCGAATGTCAGACCGGTATACCGAAGACCGGTATATAGAAGTAGACCGAACGAAACCACCGTTCGAGCGTAAACAGCTAGACTAGTTTACTTTAGCTATTTCCATAGCATATTTTGCTATGGGGACACGCAGCTGACACTGAAATTATATTTGTTTTACAGAAGAGGGCCATAAGAGCAATTTATGATTTAAAGCCTAAAGAGTCGCTGCAACAAAAATTTAAGGAAATTAATATATTAACTTTGGCCTCTCAATACATTTATGAAAATGTAATGTACGTACACAAAAATAAAAGTAGTTTTACAAAAAAAAGTGATATTCATTCTGTAAATACTAGGAACAGACACAAGCTAGTAGTACCAGTTACTCGACTCCATCGAGTCAGTAATTCATTCTTGGGGCGATGTATACGCTTTTACAACAATATTCCAGAAAATATACAAAATTTGACCAGCTCAAAGTTCAAAAACTTTATTAAACTAAGTTTATATAAAAAGGGTTATTATAATATTAAAGAATTTATAGATGATAATAACCCCTGGAAATGAGGTGATCGCTACCAAGCTAATTTGTTGTGTTGTTAATTTGTGAAAATACATGATTGTAAGCTTTTATTTAAAAAACACAAAGGAAGAACTTTCCCGCTGGGTTTCTTGCTGGTTCTTCAAAGAACAGAGGTTTTTTTTCGAACCAGTGGTAATTATACAAAAGAGTGACTTTCAATAAGTATTATTTATAATCTATATTGAATAAAAAAGTTTCTGTTTCTGTTTCTGTCTCTTCTGAGGAGAGGCCGCCATGGGGCAGCCAGCGCAGGTGGGGCCGCAGATGTGTGCGAAAGCGTTCCCGTGGCTCTGCCAATATGCGACGAGGGTGGAACACTATGGGGTTTTAGTCGGTGCGAGTCCGACATAACGCGTCCTTGCCCCCGCGAGGCGGGTATGCGTTCCCCCTGTAAAAAAAAAAAGAAAAAAGAGGGCAGCCTCTCAGCAACACGACCTTCCTTGCCTACACTAGTAAATACCACAACAGGCATAGTAACGACAGTGTGACTATTAGAATTGCCGACTGATGCCTCTTAGTTACCTGTGGGATACTTTATACTGCTAAAACAAGTGGGAGATTATCATTCTGCCTTCGTTTGTTCGTATTTCCTTTTATTTTTTTACCCTCATTCCCTACAATATATTCACAAAAACAAAAGTATTTTTAGTAAAAAAAGTTATATACACTCTGTAAACAGTAGGAACAAACACAAGCTGGGGATACCAGTTTCTCGACTCCACAGAGTCAGTAATTTATTCTTGGGGCAATTTATGCTATTTAATTTTAATTATAAAAAACAGTTTATGCTATTACAACAAAGTTCCAGAAAATATACAAGGTTTCTCTATTACATGGTTTAAATAATTTGTATAAAAAGGGTTATTATAATATAAGTTAATACATGGTTGATAATGAACGGTTTTAAAAATAAAATTTGTCAATAGTTTGTAACTTTAATATTGTATAATTTCCTTTTTTTAACTTCCGCTGGGTTTCCAGCTGATTCTTCCTAGGACACAGGTTTTTTCCGAACCAGTAGTAAAGTAAAAAAAATGACTTTCAATAAGAATTGCATGTAAGTAATCTATATTGAATAAAAAATTATTCTTAATGTGACCTAGTGTTCTAAGAGTAGAATGATATTTTTTTTTTAAAGAATAAGGAACACAGTCCACCTGACTGTAAGTAGGTACTGTGACCCATTTATTTTTAATTAAGTATCAAAATTCATAGGCGTTGTTGCACGTTTAAAAGATAGGTAGTGTTAGTTACAAAGATTTCACAATTCAGAAGTGTCCGTTACTATCTAATGAATGTTATCTAATGCATAATTAAGTATAAGAATTTTGGTAATTGTCAAATATCTGTTGGTTCTTAGGCGAGTTTAGACATTGTCCTTTACAAAACGTAGTTTTCGTGGCTGTTCTCGGCATAGTACTGCATCTTCCCTTTCTGTTTGAATCAATGGTTGCTATGTTCATGGGCTGCATTGTAGTGTTAGTTAGCTAATGTAATATAATAAAAAAAAATTGCCACTGGATTGATTTAATATCGTTTTATTTGTCCTTCCGTTAATCTATACATTACATCATATTAAGATCTTACTACTAGCTTACCTCACCTAATAATAATAATAAACTTTGTTTCAGTAACATAAATCGTAAAATTTTCACCGTAGCCGAAATCTTCTTTTAATTAAAAAAATGACTGTGGTAGGAGATTCAACTCTTACATAACAAGTCACTTCCATAACATATGCGCGAGCGCGCGCGTGTGTTACACACACATACACACAGTGTGTGTGTGTGTATGTGTGTGAGCGCATGCGTGCGTGCGTACGTGCGTACGCGCACGCACGTATGTGTGTTTGTGTGTATGTGCGCATGCGTGTTTGTGTTTGTGTGCGTATATATAAATCAGTCAATATCGAGCTTCTTAAACGATCCTTCTACACCTCCAAAGATGTCGGAAATTGTTTTTGGTTTTCCGGGTCGCAACGACTCCACGACACGCTTTCTGTTTTCTTGAACGAAGAATTCATTGTTAGCCTGTATATATGCTATAATTGCATCTGAAAGCAAAGAAGTGTGGGCATACGAACAATATTTTTTTCATATTAATTAAGGTACCTATAAAATAACTGTATCAAATGCCTTAGACCAATGTTCTAAGGCGAATGCAAATTAACAATACATTAGTGAAATTTTTAATGTGAATTTAATTTAAGTTCACTTGTTCTAAATCAATTATTAACAGTGTCCGTGTCTGTGACACTTGTACACGGGTCATATCATACATTTTCATAATAGATGCGTATTTTCAATTCTTAAACCATCCGTTGTTTTCACTCACTGAGCCGGGAGAACCGACCGTTGACATCCAGCTGGCGTAGAGGTAGTGACCACGTATAAATATATTTAGATACATATTGGTTCATTTATATTTGGATACTAGCTGTTCCCCGAGACTTCGACCGCGTCAAAATTATTACGATTGGATTTCATGGCTTTTAATTTTTTTTTTGAGCGGAACCCTAATACTACTTACTGCGTGGTAGAGCCATGCAGATATATCAGTAGTATAGTTGTAGCACGAATGGGTTGGCTCGACCGGGGAAGAACCACGCTCTCACAGAATACCCGCGTAAAATGGCAGCTTGACAGTGCTGTGTTTCGTATGGTAAGTGTAGAGAGGAGGCCTATTTTACTGGAAAAGAGGCTTTCCATCTTAGTCCTCACGGGTGACGACGCATCTATATTTTGATTCTTTATTGAGGATAAATGTAGATGTCTATCGGTCACAGCAACCACTTACCATCAGGTGGACTGTAATCGTTTATCACCCTATCCTATAAAAAAATACTTAATACTTTTCCAAAAAAAAAAGTGGCCTAAGTTACTCCTTACAACATCAGCTATCTGCCAGTGAAAGTCACGTCAAAATCGGTACAGCCGCTTCGGAGATAAACCGGAACAAACAGACAAGCAGACAAAATTGTTGAAAAAAGCTGTTACTTCGACATTACAAACAGACACTTAAATTTTATTTATTGCATAGATTATCCCAAATTGAATGCGATTTATAGACAACAATGTTTTTGCCTACCGATCGACCCTTACGAATGTGTGCGTGCGCAGTAAAATTAGTTAAAATAATGCATTACGACGCATTTTGAATTAAAAAGATAATAAATAAAAGCTTGTATAAAGGACAGAATTATTGACATATTTTTAATAATTTCTTCACCGTTTGCCTATATTACTTATTCTGAACCTTCTCTGCAAATTTGGTCGTTTATTGAAAAATAACCCTGTGTACAAAGACGTATTAAAAATAAAAACATCTTAGCCTGTATAATGGAATAATCTATGGCACATGATAAATATTAGATTGATTTTATCAATATAATATGCTTACCTCGACATTCAGACATGGTTTTAAAACTACCCCCCGCGTCACTAGGTAATGCTTCCATGGGAACATAAGGATCAAGTGTCTTCGAGCCGACTTGATGCACATGTAGGACGTCCATGAGCTCCCTCTTCATAAACGGACGTATCATCATTAGTAACTTGTCGATAAAAGAAGGCGCGTTCAAGAAATGGATTCCTTTTAATTTAACCAACATCGCTTCCTGAAAGAAAATTGTTATTAGATTGATTTTATTATATTAATATTCTTCTGTTTTTTTTTAATAGCATAAGAGTGATGGTCAGTGGATGCTGTGGTCCATAGACATCTATATTTATTAATTTTATTCTCAATTAAAAATCAAATTGCAGATGCGTTGTCACCTCTGAGGACTAAGATGCAATGCATAGAGTAGAGTAATATATAATGCAATGCCTCGTTTCAAGTAAAAAAGGTGTTCGGTTCTCTAGACTTGTACAACGTCCCAAAAATAAAACACAGTATTCAGTGGTGGGAGTACGTAACAACCATTTTAAATCGTTCAACACTATATATATAACACAGGTGAGTCGTAATACGCCATCTAGCGCTGTTGCTTCGAACTTTTATAACACAAACATATGTTTTTTTTTATAGGATAAGGGTGACAAACGAGCACACAGTCCACCTGATGGTAAGTGGTTGCTGCGGCCCATAGACATCTACATCTATCCTCTATTACAAATAAAAATGCAGATGCGTTTTCACTCGTGAGGACTAGGATGGAATGCCTCATTTCCAGTAAAAAGGGCCTCCGGCCCATCCGTGCGACAGCAAAAGCTGCCGCGTGGCACCGCGTGGCTCTACCACAGTAAAATGTAAATATGTTATACGTTGTTAAGAAAATAATTTATCGGGTCTTAACAATACTACTTACACTACTACTTACATGGAATAGCAATAAAGTTACGTAAAAACACTAGTGAAGGTGAAGTTTAGTTCACCTTGCGAGATTATAATTAAGGAGATTCAGTCCCTTACCAGTTTACGTAAATATTAAGCTTTACGTAAAAGGGTAAGGAAGAGTGGTATAACTATAAAAAATTATTATAAAAGCATGAGCTGTTACAATAGGATAATCTCCAATTAAAGATCCAACAGGGACCTTGGCATGTAGGAATAAATATGTTAAAATTTCGACCGGTAGTATTTTGTAATTTTAATAACGGAGTGATCAACGCAGCACGGATGGTAGATATTATGAAAAGGATATAGAACGACGAGTGAACGCAAGATTGTGAAAAGGCATAATGTGTCTAAAAAGGTACGTATGGCAATTCACAACGTTGTGTTAGTCCCTACTTTAATGTATGGTAGTGAAAGTTGGGTGTAGCAGATGAAGGACGCGAGCAGAATGAATGCTGTAGAAATGCGGTCATTAAGGAGTATGTTAGGGCTAAATTTGAATGACAGGGTGAGAAATTGTGTGATAAGAGTATGGTTTGCAAGATGGTGTTGTGACCAGGATTAAGAAAGGAATACTTCGCTAGTTTGGTCATATAGAAAGAATAAATGAGGAAAGTGTGAGAAAGCAAATTTATGTTGCAGAAGTGAACAGCAGAGTCAAGAAGGGACGCCCTAGGTGAAAGTTTATCGACCAAATTGGCGATATAATGAAAATGGGCCAAGTTAAGAGTACCCTTAACCGACGAGTGTGTGTGCGTATGGTATCTATATGGATGGAGGAGGCGAGAGAGGTGTATCAGGATCATGCCAGATGGAAGTATGTAGTCTCTGCCTACCCCTCTGGGTGACAGGCGTGAGTGTTTATGTATGTATGTATGATCAACGCCAGTATTTGTAATTATAAGAGCGCTATTTGAAAAAGTATTTAGTATAACTGTATTTTTTGTAACCAACAACGTAATCAAAACACGGTAACCTGTCTTTAAATATAATGAGTAATTTTCTCTGTTAGACTCTTAATGACATATAATAGGTTATTGATAGCTGGAACGGTTGTTTAACAAAACAAGAACCCATTTATTGAGCATTCAATTATCTTTTAATGCATTAAGAAATTACTACAGTGTTTATAAGACTTTTGTAAGTCGCAAATTATTTATTCAGTCTTTATCGAGTAACCGTAACAAACGCACCACTGCTGCGGACGCGAATAAAACACAAAAATGAGTTTTGAAAAGAAGGTTGTCATAATAACAGGCGCGAGCTCCGGAATTGGTGCCGCTACGGCCGTCCTTTTCTCTAAAGAAGGAGCGTACGTTGTCCTAGTAGGAAGGAACGAGACAAAGCTAAATGACGTTGCCTCGCGTTGTGTTACAAAACATCTGATTGTCAAAGCTGACGTTTCAAAGGAGCCAGAGGTGAAAAACATTGTTGACCAGACTATAAATGAGTTCGGAAATATTGACGTACTCATAAACAATGCCGGCTTGGTGCGATATGGGAGTGTGGGTATGGGAAATATGTTGAACGCGTACGACGAAGTGATGGCGACGAACATGCGCGGCGTTATACAACTGACGTCTTTGTGTGTTGACCATTTGATCGAGAGTAAAGGTAACATCGTCAATGTGTCCAGTATAGGCGGTCTGTTTCCGCCGGGCAAGCCTGTGTTGCTCCCATATTGTATGTCTAAAACGGCATTGAATTTATTCACTCAGGGTGTCGCTTTAGAACTAGGTGAATACGGTGTTAGAGTGAACGCTGTCAGTCCTGGTCCGGTTGTGACAGACATCATCCAGAATTCAGGGATCCCCCAATCCAGGAATTCTTGGAAAGATTTTGAAGCCTTTACAGCTCTAAATAGAGTGAGTGAGCCCGAAGAGATAGCCGATTTGATTATGTTCATAGCCAGCGATAAGGCGAGGGGTATCACAGGTTCCAACTACATTTCTGACAATGGATTCCTAGTTAAACGTTAATTTTTTTTTGTAATCAACCTATTCAGAATCAGGTTGGCCATAATATAACAAAGGTTACTTTCGTTAATACTGGTTTTATTTTTATTTAGCACACCCATCCAAAAGTCCTTGAGCCTATATTATATTCATTATAGATTTAATCATATTTTACGACTAGCGACCCACCCCAGCTTTGCCTGGGTAGGATCTATTAATGAGGCGTTATTTAAATTTAAGATAAGCAAAGACCATTTTTTTGTCAGATATTTGTTTATGTAAAAAGTTTTTTGGATACAATATCTAGATCCTTAATGGCATTGCTCTCTAACTGTGCGTAAAGTTTTATCAAAATTGGTTAAGCCAGTCCGAATATTAGCACGTACAGATAGGCAGATACAGACAAAAAATTAAAAATGTTTAATTATGTCTTAATAGCATGCAAATAATCCCCTGTGCTTAATAAAAGCCATTTATTTCTATATTACAGCCTTCAACTATATATATAATTGAATGATATATGCTGGCAAAACGTATCGCTAGCAACGCAATGAAGTTATTAGATATACGATAATTATTAATAGCAAGGAATTAAGTGCTAATTAGGTGCTGCAAGTATAGGCAATGACAAGGCGCCCCTAATAAAAATAAAGTAGTTATTCAGAACAAAGGAGATGCAAAATTCAGGTTTTCTGAAAATCAGAATAGAATCGCAAATGCATTTAGAAAAAGCCCAAATTAGGGGCTTTTAAGGCACTAATTAACCAAGTACTAGTACCAAGTTTAAAAATTAGTTGCTCTAAAATTTTACCACAACGAACGATTGAAATTGGCGTTGCATATATATTTTGAGCTTGGTTGTGTAGTTCAGAACTCTACTCTCTACTTGTTTGACTCTGCTTTTGTTTTTGGACTTAATGATTTACGTGAGATTTTGATTTCGTTGATATCGGACATCTGTATTCTGTAGAATCACATTTTGAATCAGTGAGCAGGTATGTATCAAAAAAAGATGTTTCCTTAAGCTATTAAACGCATTTGAATGACATGCTTCTATCTGTAGTCTGTTAATAATTATTAATTTCTACATAAGTTCATAACGGCTGCAAAATCTTAATATGATGTAATTATCTTTGAATTCACCTGTTGAAACATGTTGCACTTTTTAAAATGCGCTTCTGCAATATAGATAGTTTATTAAAATAAGATTGTTTTGTTCTAGATGGATGAAAATGCACCAATATGTTCACAAGGTTTTGCAAACGTATTACAAGAATTATCTGTCGGCACAAATCTTGAAAATTAGCTCCAGCTCCCTAATGCCAATACTATCAGTATATTGAGTTTGGTATCAACGAAGACTGGGTAGCAGATAGGTTGTGACCCAATTAATATCATCCCAAAAAGACTCTGTTTTAATAAGAGACCGTGTAACTTCTCGCCATCACTCGGACAGAGCTTATGCATATTATATACCGTTGGCGAGACAAGGGACAGGTTGGGATAAGATGATTGCAGGTTATTATTGTAGTTGCTCTTCTGGACAACAGACAGTGGGTTGCTGTGCCCACATAATGACCGTTATCTGGTACTTGTGTTGGGCTCGGTATCAAAATTCTATAACCGCACCGGCCTCAACTCTGGATGGCATTTTAGTAAGAGAGGATTTTGAAGTAGGATAAATAAATAAAAAATAAAAAATTAAGCTGTTTTATTTATGTTTAGTATCCAAAATATGATTGGCCTGATGTTACACTTTCTATAATTCATAGGACTGTTAACCTTTGTTATGAAATTATCCAGGCTTCACTGTCAAGGCTCAAGGCATACTCTGACACGCTGAGGACCTGTTATATGAAAATATATGTACGCCGGAAACGGCAGAATATTTAGGATGTCAATACTTTTGTAACAACTGTAATGTACCATATTATAATCTGTGTTTGTTCACTAGCACTTCAGCAGCCCAGATAGACACATATACCTGAACAGGAATTAGTAGGTATTCAGGATTATTCTGTTTATCCACCTTAAAACAGCCACTCTAAGGTAAAACGAGTTGAATGTAAATTCTAGAAAAACAACTTCCTTCTGCGTGAATCCCATATCTCTGGTGCCCTTTGACCTACAGGACCCAAATTCAAACTCGACCGAGCTACTACCTCAAGGTATCCACATACCAAATTTAAAGTCAATCGGTCCAGTGGAACGGAAGTTATCGTGTCGGCATACAGACTAACAGACTGCCAGCTAAAACCATTAACTTCCTTTCAATGCTACGCAGAAGGAATTTAATAAGTTAAATATATTGTATAAGATTAGTGCAATAAAGTAGTATCTCAGGGTGGATTTTTTAGGGTAGAGAAACGGAGTTACCCTCTATTAACATATAATCTCGGCTTTGAGCTATCTGGCACTAAATTGAGGTGAAGTGTGCATTAGTGCACACTAATGAATGCAATGAAATAACTTTGTGCGTAGGCACCGTTGATTTATCTCAACAATCTTCTTGTCTGGAATTAGGTAGTACTTTATACATTTGTTTTCTCCTTAACTGCATTTATGATATGCAAATATTAACAAGAACGTTAGTTGTTTTAAGACCAAAAAAGCACATACACAATTTATAATAATGAGTATATCACAGACTAACTAGTAGATTCTACCAGAGTATATTTCAGAGATGACAGCTAACGTCAAATCAAAACGACATCAATCCGCCATTAGTGTTGCATTTATTGGTGAGAATAAAATAAATTGCACTGAAATTAATGCAAATTCGTGGATTTGAATGATCAAAAGTGGTTTAATATTTTATTTTAATTTATTTCCATACTAGTACATAAACTAGGCCTACGCTTCATACAATTTTGGACCGTCTCCTTTCAACAGTTCGTTGCGGTGAAAATTTTAGAGCACCTAATTTTTAAACTTGGCACCTAATTAGCACCTAAAAAGCCCCTAATTTTAGGTTTTTCTAAATACAAATTCCTAATTTTGCGTTGCTGGCGATACACAACTGTTTTTCATCTTTCCTTCTTTAAGATAATGTCTAAAGCTGTCTTTACCTGTAAATAATATAAGAATTGCTGCAAGTTCTGCAAGTCTAGTCTGGCCAAATGTCCAAGGGTCATACTTTCGAAGTCAATAACTATCACAAGACCGGGCCACGTGCCTTCCTCGTATTGCTTCAAGTCCAGGACCATGAGAACGGTTCTGTGGATAAAAAAAATCAGGTGTTGGTTTTGCCGTACGTTGGGGACGTAAACGTCACCACAATTTACTTCTTCGGAGAATTTAGAGATACCATTACAGCCTATTAAAGTCCACTGCTGGACAAAGGCCTCCTCCATAGATTGGCTCATAGGGGGGGGGGGAGAAGATTTTCTTGATAGTTTATTTTTATTTTTGGTCGTTATTATTTTTTTTTTTTATAGGAGAGGGGGCAAACGAGCATGCGGCTCACCTGATGGTAAGTGACTACCGCCGCCCATGAGCAACTGCAACACCAGGGGAATCGCAGATGCGTTGCCGGCCTTTTAAAAAGGAGTACGCTCTTTTCTTGAAGGTCCCTAAGTCGTATCGGTCCGGAAAAATCGCTGATGGTAATCGATTCCACAAGGAGGTCGTGCGAGGAAGAAAACATCTTCTAAATCGCACAGTGGTGGACCGCCAATCATCCAGATGGTGTGGATGGTATCGGGAGTACTGCCGCGATGTGCGTTCGTGAAATTTGGCGGCTGGGATTAATCCGAACAATTCCTCAGAGCACTCCCCATGGTAGATGCGAAAGAAAATGCAAAGGGATGCAACATCTCTTCGCAGTGCCAATGAATCGAGCCGATCGGAAAGGGCTCGGTCGTCGACAATTCGAGCCGCTCTGCGTTGGATGCGGTCAAGTGGAAGGAGCTGGCACTGGGGAGCCCCTGCCCAGAGATGGGAACAGTATTCCATGTGAGGCCGAACTTGCGCCTTGTAAAGTAGCAGGCGGTGTGCCGGCATGAAATACTGTCCCGCTCTGCTGAGCACGCCAAGCTTTTTAGAGGCCAATTTGGCCTTCCCTTCCAAGTGACCACGAAACTGCACGTCACTCGATATGTCGACTCCGAGGATACCGATACTGGCTGAGGCAAGAAGGGCAGTGCCTTGAAACTGAGGAGATACGACAAAGGGGTTCTTTTTAGCGGTAAACGCGCAAACTTGTGTCTTCTGAGGATTAAATTGGACTAGATTTAGTCGCCCCCAATCCGAGACTTTGTTCAGCAAAGACTCGACTTCAGACACAAGTTTGTTCCGGTACTCAGCGACGTTTTCCCGAGAAAAGGCTGCTGCCCAGCTCCTCATTTGTTTCCCTCTGTCACCTCTTACGGGATATATTAAGAGATGACGCAGAGAAATGGTAACTTCATGACCTTTTATAGACAATCTTGTAAGTTACAAGAAGTATATGGATGTAGATCGCTCAGGATCGTCTTTTGTGCGTTGATCGGGGAAGGCTTATGTTTAGGAATGGACTTGTAAAAGGCTGTAATTTTAACGGAGGTAAGGTGTTAATGAGAAGAGTGGCGTGTTATTCATTTTAATAATTATACTACATAACCTTTTTTGACGTGACAACGTCTTATAATTCGATGAAGCTGGCTGCACGCACGAAAAAACATGACTCATGCGGCGTTACCTCGCTCTGAGGCGTTCCATTTAAGGCTTGAAGTGCAAGCGAGAGCGCGGAACGAGCGACAAAGAAGCACAATCGGCCTCCGCGTTCGGCAGCGTTCGACATCTGTCTCTCTCCTACTTGAGTGAGCGATGCGTCCGCATGGACAGCTGCTATAGAATAATACATTTACATGTTTTCGTCAAGTATGAAGTGCAGTGAAAAGTGAATGTGGTGTCAATTGTTTATAGCAACATTTTCTTATGACGTTGTCACGTTCAACTATCGTCAGTAAACCGACTTTACAGACAACCGATTTTTTTTAACATAATTCTAATATATTATATTGTCGAGGGGGTTACACGTCACTACACCTCCCACCGACAAAATATAAATAAAAAAGGAAATTATTAGATACATTTGTTTTTTGAAGTGAAACTTTTTACGGGAGGGCTTCGAAATTCTGATCCGCAACCTTTTTGTGTGACGAAAAGTGGTGGGGGTAAAATCTATGTCGATCACTCGATAAATCGACTGGTCGATCATTAAAATCGCGAACGCATGCCATTACATACCATAAAGTATATAGTACAATTACAATTACTAGATTATAATGGTCTGTCGTTCGAATACTAATCTATTAATTTTATTTAAGACAATTACCAACGTACACGTATTTAGTTTAGAAAGAATGATTGCATTTGCGTAATAACGCCATCTACTACATTTTCTACATACCACCATGATAGTTAATCAATTTTGGTTGGATAAAATAACTTTACGCATGAATGTGGCGCTATTAAAAATGAACAAGGCAGTAATTTGATGCCCAATAAGGCAGAGCAGCGTTTATTTTAAATAATAATTTGTAAATTTTCATTTACATAAATATTTGTTGTCATTATATAAAACTGGTTTAATTAATATAAAATTACATAAAGAATTACATAAATAATAGGTAATTTGCTAATTAACAAACTTTAATGAGTATTTTGTATTATACCACAGAATAAATAATAAATAGTACAAGAAGTTATACTGGGATCTATAATAATTACTTAATTCACTGTGGTGAGTCCTAGTGTAGTAGTAGTCCTAAACCGATAATTTCTCTTCTTAAGATCGAAGAAGATGGTGCGCTGTCACACATATGTATTTAATTTTATATAAATAAATGAATTATATACACACTCTATGCTATTCAAAAGTCATTGATGAATAATTGAAATGTTTTCCTGTAATACAAAAGATTCACTTCTATCGTGTATCTTCACGACACACACTGTTTTTTTTTCATAAACTTATAAAAATTAAATGAAAATAATTTTACGAATTCATTCGCGTTTGACGTCGAGAATTAAAAAGTTAAATTAAACGCGATAGAATCCGTTAAATTACTTTCATTTAATATGTAGTAGGGTTCGGGTAAATATAAGAAATAATTATCTTATAAAAATATTAATTATTACTGAATAGAATATAAATTATTAAAATCGAGATAAGTGGGGCTACACGTCACTACATAACGATGACATTGATTTTTTTATAGAAGATGGGGCAAACGAGCATGCGGCTCACATCATGGTAAGTGTCGACCGCCACCCATGAACAATTGCAAAACTAGGGGAATTGCAGGTACGTTGTCGGTTATATGATGTTATATAACAGATAGATTGCCTCGTGCATCTAGTACTTGTAAGAGCGATTTCTGATTATGTGGTCACGGATTGAAATCCAGACAACCGAGCACGCACATAGTCCATCTGATGGCAAGTGGTTGCTGTGACCCATAGACATCTAAATCTATCCTCGATTACGAATCAAAATGCAGATGCGTTGTCAGTTGTCACCCGTGAGGACTAAGATGGAATGCCTCGTTTCCAGTAAAAGGGGTCTCCGGTTCTTTACACTCACCATACGAAACACAGCAGTGTTAAGCTGCTATTTCACGCTGGTATTCTGTGAGAGCGCGGTCCTTGCCCGGTCGAGTCGACCCATTTGTGCTACAACTATACTACTAATATAGCTGCAGCATGGCTCTACCACGTAATAACTTTTGCTAAAGAGTTTACTCTTTGGTATTTCGCTAATTACTATCCGATATGGCTATCTCGTGTTCATGGATACCACCTCTTTATTAAGTTTATAAAAACTATTCCCGTGTTGTTTTAAAAATTTGGCAACTTCTAATATATACAAAATTACTTACCTAATGCAGTCTCCTAGATTGAATTTTTTTAGTTCAAGATCTAAGAAGTGAGTGTATAAGACTTTTGATTCGTCTCTAGCACGCATCGCCAGTGGTGTCATTAACCTGAGAAGAGTGTTATCGAGATATTATTATATTGTTACTAGCTGACCAGGCAGACGTTGTTCTGCCCTTTTCGACGACCCTTCATATAAAAAATCATTGAATTCGTAATAAAAAAATATTGAGTGTCACTTATCAGGATAAAAACTATCCTATCTCTCAAGTTGGACCAAACTGCACAGAGTTTGCAAAATTTCATTAAAATCAGTTCAGTAGTTTAGGAGTTCATCGCGGACAAACAACGTGACACGTAATTTTTATGTATAAAGATAGCTGTTCCCCGCGACTTCGCCCGAATGTAATTTAGGGTTTTAATTTTGTAGCGCTGAACCAGTAGCCGAAGTTATTCCTTATAACATGAGCTATCTATCAGTGAAAGTTCCGTTAAAATCGGTCCAGCCGTTTTGGAGATTAGCCCGAACAAACAGACAGACAGACAGACAAAAATGTTATAAATTGTGTTTTTGTTATAAGTACCGTATATGCCATTAGTAAAAAGCTGTTATTCTAACATTACAAACAGACACTTCAATTTTATTTATTTGTATAGAAGATATTGGTGCAAGTGAAATTAAATTTATTTATTTAGTTAACAACTAGCCATCCTCCCTTTGAAATTTAATACGAGAGAGGGGTTTCAATTTTTTTTTTCAATTTAGCAATCCGCCCCGTCAACGCACGTTTGATTTCTTGATCTCGACAACAACGCCACCCACCGGGTCCAATTGTAAATATAAACCACTCTCCAATCAACTAAATCACACACAATTTTTTTAGCCGTTTAGTAGGACTTCAGTCACGCGCACACGGACAGAAGAATTATATTATACACAATATGCATGTATTACACATATAAACTTTTTTCTTAAATCATTCTGTCCACTGATGAAAACCGCATCAAAATTCGTTGCGTATTTTAAAAGATCTAAGCGTACAGACGGCGGGAAGCGACTTTGTTTTATACTATGCACATATTTATGTACTTACATGCAAAGAAATGTTACCGTTACTGTTCAGCCTATTAAAGTCCACTGCTGAACCTCCTCTCCTCTAGATAGACCTCTCCCTTAGATTAACACATAGGGGAATATTTGCCATAGTTGCCACGCTTGGCAAGCGGGTTGGCAACCGCAGACTTTTATTTTTAGTCGTTAGTTGGAAGACGTTGCTGCCCATCTCCCGAGTTGTTTCCCTCTTTCGCCTCTTACAACACCCACGGGATGATATGGGGTAGTGTATATTCTTACACCGCCACTACACGGTATCTATAAATGAATTAAATCTATACAAATAAATAAAATTGAAGTGTCTGTTTGTAATGTCATAATAACGGGTTTTTAACAAATAAAATTAAAATAATATGAATAAGGCAAATTTTTCCTTTTATTGAAGCGACCAATTAGTGTTTAGACGGAATAATAGAAATTTATAAATCAAAATAAATTACGGAAACTCCGTGACGCAGTTGCTTAGCAATTATTTGCAACGCTAAGGGCGGCGGGTTCGAATCCCAAATATTTGTATCGCTTACAAATTATTGTTTCGGGTCTGGATGTGTCCTTGTGAAATTTGTACGTAAAATGCCCCCACGATACAGGAGAAAATCCTAGTGTGGGGTAGGTAACGTTTTATAAAAATTATTAAAGTTAAAATAAAAATAAAATCACTTACACCGTGTTCATAGCTTGCGCTACTGAGTCATCCACTCTTCGGTCTTTGAAGTAAGTGTGGAAAAGTGTTCGGAGTGTAAAGTGTAGATCCAGCACTTGCTTGGATACACCTATGCTCCTGTCACAGCAGTGAAATATCAGGATTAGATCTAAATCTGAAACAATGTCTATAGTTATTAAACTATAATAATAGCAGCTTAATGCTGCTGTGTTTCGTATGGTGAGTGTAGAAAACCTGAGACCCTTTTTACTGGAAACGATGCATTACATCTTAGTCCTCAGGGGTCTAAGACAACGCCTCTGCATTTTGATTCTTAATCGAGGATAAATGTAGATGTTTATGGGCCACAGCATCCCCTTACCATCAGGTGGACTGTGTGCTCGTTAGTCATCTATTATTTACTCTTATTGTATTAAAAATCGGGTACTGTTTAATAAAAATCGGCAATACCGGCAAATCACAATTAATTTTATTAAAGGACATGTATGAAATTGGGTGCTTGACATCGTTCGTAACATTTGTACAAAAAATTTAAAGTAATAAAACGATAAATTATAAGCATAAGCAAATGATTTTTATTTCTGTAGTACTTGGGATCATCATAAAACATTTTTTTAAAACTGCAATAGAAATGTCATGCTTTTGCTTTAGCAAAAACGAAACGTTTTTAAATATCTTTCTGTATTTTGTCTATGGTAATAGATATTTTTATAATAAAGTAGCCTATCTTATTAAAAAAAAAACATAACATTGGCGCGAATCTGTAGTGATTAATATTGAATAAAATAATATATTTAGAAAACGATTGAATAGGCTATGTCATTAAAATAAAAATAAAAACATTTGAATATACGACTGAATAGGCTGGTCATAGACCATTGCATATTCGGAAGGAGACTTAACTTGGTAACTTCGAGTTTGAGCTTGTCATGCAGCGTGATTTCATGTTTTTACATTCGTGGATTTATCCTGACCTTTGGAATTTATCTCGGATCACAGGACAGTAGTTTTTGCGCCCACATAATGAAAATAATGTGGTATTTAAGTTTTGAGATGAATAGAACAGACTATGTACAGCCTCTGGCTGTATTTTTAAATGAAATTTTATTGATGTTTGCAGGAAATAGTTACACAATTTAATAAAAAATAATGAGTTTTTATAATAAATACAAAACTGCATTCTTTTTTGTTCAATTCAATTTATTGAAACAACTTATTACAAGAACGAGTCATTTTACTACATAACCTACATATCATAAAACATAAAATAAAAACAGAACCCCAGGTCTTGCAAAAATATGATTTTTGGTATAGGTAGCAAATGTGTAAATCTTCAAACTAAGGTATATTTTAAGTTTGTTCACGCCGGGCACAAGCCTATATGGAATCATGTTCATCTCCTACGGGATTAAAGTCGTAACTCTGAATGATCCTAGAAAAATGATGGTAGGTAAAATTAAAATAATTGAGCATTATTGCACAAAACTGTCAAAACTTTTATAAAATATAATAATAAACTATTTTTAAAATATAAAATATTTTTAGGAAACCTGCACCCCCCCCCCCCCCCCCCAACCCCCCTCCTCCCACACACACGCGCTAGGATTTTCTCCTGTACTGTGGAGGCAGTTTACAAACATAAATTCCACAAGGACAAACATCCAACCCCGGATCAATTATTTGTAAGGCATGCAAATACTTGTTCCAGACGGGATTAGAACCCGCGGCCCACAGCACTGCAACTCGTTGCTAAGCCAGAATTTAAAGACGATTAATGTAGTGTAATATGGCTAAATTTATTTCTTCATAAAAATGTATAACTTAAATGCATCGATCATTAAAAAAAAAAACTGGATACACAATCCCATGCAAAAGTTCTTTAAAAACTGTCGCCAATTGTTTTGACGTAATTCTAGTTGAAATAAATATACATTAATGTAAATTCAACCTTAACTGCATTGTCTAAAGTTGTATTCACAAAGCTACGTAGAAATTAAAAGTGCACCCAAATGTTCGAGAGGGCGCTCATTCGGTAAGGACATTTAATTATTTAAATGATATATGTAAAATTTAAAACTTTGGAACTTGTGTTAAACATCAGACGCGATATTATTATCGGGAGAAAAATTGCATGTTTGTGAATTCTAGAAGCTGAGATATGGCTCGATCCCCTCCAAAACACCTCACGTAATTATAATGGGCGCCCCCTTAGTCCAACATGTATAGGCAGTTGCCCTATTTTATTAATGGAGTAGGTACACGTTAACACGTTTTTGCTAAATATATCATAGCTAGGCCTGAAACGAGTTATGTAAGGATATCCACTATCCGTATTCTGTAGGTGCCGTAAGAGGCAACAAGGGGCAACTGATGGGCAGCAGCATCTTCCAACAACTATAAATAATAAAATACTGCAATCGTCAACCCACCTACCAAGAGTGTCAACTATGGCACAACTCCACTTATCCACGTTTGGCACCCTTATTCTATAAAGTAATTTAAAATTAAAAATTTTGTACAGTCGACTTCAATATGAGTTATTAAGAATAACTCAATAGCTATTAGTCTGAGCTTGATCAAATTCATATGCGACCACACGAGAAGTACCAGCTTTCAAATAAAAAAAGAATCATCTAAATCGGTTCACCCAGTAAAAAGTTATGAGGTAACACACATAAAAAAAAAACATACAATCGAAATGAGTACCGGCTCCTTTTTGGAAGTCGGCAGAAAAAGAAAAACAAGACGTTTTTATTCGATTATGACGTTCATCTCGTACACGACGATGACTGTCCTATTGCATTAAACATATTAATATTACTAAAAAAGGGAACTAAAGTATTTGAGTGTAGCAAGATGTTGTGTTAATTTATTTATGAGACTGTTTGTTTCTTTTAAATAAAAAAAAAGCGTCGATAATTTCTGTTTGCACTTCGGCAAAATCCGCGCAAGTCATCTACACAGTGTGACACCACACTCAGGGTATCCTTGGGTACACTGACTGCGTAGTATCACGTATTATGTTATTACCGCCGGTTAGCGTAGGAACATAGATGTCGATCTAATACTGTAATTACACGACTCTGTGTATATGATTTAATATTTTTAAACCACTCTATTATTTTAATGAGAAGCCATGAAAAGCGTTTTTAAAATTGTCCACTTGACTATCATGCACCTACATTATATAAGGAATTTATTTAATGTTGCCAGACTGTTAAATGTAGGGAACTTTGAAAAATAGAAAGAAACACTTTTTAATAAGAAATCATTGACGTATGTACACAAATTATATATATATATATATATATATATAATTTATATATAATATTTGAATAAACGCTTGTACTAATTACACAATATTTACTCTATGTTATTTTATTTATTTACCAAAAATCTACAGCTCGTTTAAAGTTCTTATTAAATTACATTTTTTTTTGTAGAAAACATTTCATTTTAGCCGAACCACTAAAATGAAATGTTTTCTACAAAAAAAAACAAGTTACTCGTAGATGTACCTACTCGTATGTGCTCGCACTTGTGTGCGTGTGTATGTGTGGATGTGTGTGCTTGTGTGTGCGTGTGTGGGTGAGTGAGTGCATGTGTGGGTGAGTGAGTGCGTGTGTGGGTGTGCGTGCGTATGTGCGCGTGTGTGTGTGTTTATGTGTGTGATATGAAATACCTAATCACTAAGTATTTTCAAAACTTTTCGCTCAATGTTTGGCTTACTTTCATAGAATATATCTACAGAGTGAAACGTTAAAAGAAAAGTTATGGTTTTTGAAAGAGAAGAAAGTAAAACGATATGTGAAATAAGAATAGAAGGGGAGTTGGTAGAGCAAGTAGATAAGTTTGTATATTTGGGATGTGTGTTTAGCAGGGATAGTAGATATGATAAGCATATAGAACGACGAGTGAATGCAGTAGAAAATGCGGTCGTGGAGTATGTTAGGGATGAATCTGAATGACAGAGTGAGAAATTGTTTAATAAGAGAAGAGTGTGGTTTGCAAGATGATGTTGTGACCAGGATTAAGAAAGGAATGCTTCGGTGGTTTGGCCATGTAGAAAGAATGAATGAGGAAAGAGTGACAAAGCAAATTTATGTTGCAGAGGTGAACGGCATAGTCGGGAAGGGTCGCCCTAGGCGAAAGTTTATCGACCAAATTGGCGATATATTAAAAATGGGCCAAATCAAGAGTACCTTTAACCGACGAGCGTGTATGCGTAGGTATATGGATGTGGAGGAAGCAAGAGAGGTGTGTCAGGATCGTGCCAAATGGAAGTCCATAATCTCTGCCTACCCCTCTGGGTGACAGGCGTGAGTGTTTATGTTATGTTATAAAACGTTTTGTTATATTCTGTATGTATCCAAGAGACTGGGAATAATTTTTTATTCAATGTGCAATCGAAAACAGCTTTGTTTGTCGTGGTCTGGTTCTAAGACAATTTAATCACAACATTTTGGATACTAAATCCGGACAGTCGATGTGGCCATTACAAAGGCTATGTATTGAACGTCATGGCATCTAATATACGACCCTTTTCAAGCGTTAAGAGCTGAAAATGCTTACAAGAATCGACATAGTTTTGGGGAATCCGATGATATTTTCTGAATGTCTTCAATAGCATGAATTTATGTCATTGAGGATTCCAAATTAAATTGCAATACTCGAGAATAGTCCAAAATCTTTAAACACGTAATATTTGAAAAAGGGCTTAAGACAAAACATAAATTTTTGTAAGGCTTACTGACTATACTCTCAATGTGTTTCGAAAATAATAATTAGTAGTAGGTGGCGCTGTTGTCAAGGTCCAGAAATCACCTGTGAAGTGAAAAAAACATAAAAAGAAGCATGATAATAAATACAATGAAACAAATTACAAACTAAATGCTACACTTTTTCTCTATTTATGTATATTATAGTTTCCATAATATAACTATAGAAATCTTTTTTTTTATTGAAGCAAACGAGCATGCGGCTCATCTGGTGGCAAGTGACTACCGCCGCCCATGAACAACCGCAACACCAGGGGAATTGCAGGTGCGTTGTCGGCCTTTAAAGAGAGTAGGATCTTTTATTACAGATATGGAAAAATCGTTGGTGGTAGCCGATTCCATAAGGACGTTGTGCGAGGAAGAAAACTTCTTGTAAATCGAACAGTGGTGGACCGCCAACCATCCAAATGGTATGGATGGTGTCGCTATGACAACATTTTGTTGCAATATGCCGAGCTGAGACGAAATTTCGTCACACATCAAAAAACATAAATACAGTGAACATTGTACAATGTGGTGAAATTTATTTTTGTATTTTTTATATTATAATACTAATATATAATACTATAATAGAAAAAAAAAAACTAAAACTAGTAACTTAATTATCATACAGTCCTACTCCCCGCGGTATCGTGCCAAGAACGCTGGCTGCGTTTCCCCGCTGAATGGCTATACTTGGCCTTTGAGCGAGAAAAAACGACCAGACGCTATGGAGTTCCTATTTTTATTTCTTTAAAAAAACGTTACCCCCACACTAGGATTTTCTCCTGTGTCGTGGAGGCAGTTTACAAACATAAATTGCACGAGGCAAACATCCAGAGCCGGAACAATTATTTGTAGGCCATGCAAATACTTGTTCCGTGCGGGATTTGAACCCGCGGCTCCCAGCGCAACAACTCATTGCTAAGCCACTGCGCCACGGAGCCGTCAAAAAGCCGTTCCTTTAGGAACTTCACCGCACGTGGACCCCACGGACCGATAGTCTCTACAGCAAATGGTACAAATATGTAGTCATCTCTTAGGGACTCGTATTTGCGCCACTTACTGAGTTCAGCTGCCTCTGATGCCGACGAGGCTCTAAACAAGGTTTATTTATTCATTTATTTCCTACAATTTGATTGTACAATATAGTTTGAAGAAACATACATGTGCAGGGGACTGGTGTCCAAACTAAACCTGTATTAACGGTCATCAGGCCTCCACGCAAGGATAAATAAAATCTGAATGGAAGAGAAAATTGGGTGATGTACAAACTATTTTAAGTACCTGTTATATATTTGGAAGGCAGATGAGGTTGGGTGTCGAGCCACTGGCGTAATTTGGCGATATCCTGAGGAGATATCAATGTCTTCTTCTTGTATTCTTCTTCTAAAGGGAATTCTGCCACCACATCGGGCGTCATTTTTCTGAAACATATCAAGTCAAACTTAAAGTCACAGCCTATATACTTCCCACTGCTGGGCACAAGCCTTCCCACGTTTCTGAGATGGTTTTAGGGCAAGGAAATATATGCCGCGCTGACCCAACGCGTGTTGGCGAACTTCACATGTCTTGGAAATATTTTTTCTTATTTCTCAGACATGCAGGTTTCCTTGAGATGTTTTCCTTCACCGCCGAGCACGTGGTAAATCAGCACATAAAATTGCAACTAACAATTTCATTGGTGCCGGCAGGGATCGAACCCACGTTGCTCGCATTGCATCGCACTGTGAATTTTACAGCGAGCGCTTAGCGCCTGGGCTACCTCTGGTTTTCAAGTATTATTAGCAAAGAAAAAAGTCCCCCTGGGTTTCTTGCTGGTTCTTCCCAGGACACAGGTATTTTCCGAACCAGTGGTAAATACAAAAATGTCTTTCAATAAGTATTATGTAAGAAGTGGGATGCAAAAAGTAAAGACTGTGTATGAACCTCCGTAGGAAGCGGAGTTATAGCCGAAATAAGAGTTTTAAATTTTTTGGTTTTTGGCCATTTTAACCCGCTGATAGTGTAATGAGAACTTTTTGCCCCTATTCAACCATGATCCCCATGAAATCCTCTACATGATAGACTATTCAAACTGACTATGCCTAAAGTCTTTACTTCCAATAATCAACAATATTGAATAAAAATTATTTTATTCTGTTCTAACAAACACGCTTTAGTGGTAGGTAACTGCTTTAAAATATGGAAGATTTTTGAAGATCTCTTTGTTTATTTATTTTATTTTATTTGTTGACACTTTATTGCACCTAAATAAAAGGATTACAAAGGGCGGACTTAATGCCTTTAGGCATTCTCTCCCAGTCAACCCGGGACGTGTGGAAATTAAGTGATAGGTGACAAAATAAAATAAACAATAGAGTAAATCAAGGAAAAAACTACTGATAAACTTAAAAATATATAGCCGTGTAGTGGCGGTCAAGAATATCCACTACCCCATATCCTCCCGTGGGTGTCGTAAAAGGCGACAAAGGGAAACAGGCAGGAGATGGGCAGCAGCATCTTCCTGATAATAGCCAAATTACAATAAAAAAACTGCGGTTGCCAACCCGCTCGCCAAGCGTGGCAACTATGGCAAATACCCCCCTATGAATGACAGTAACAAAGAAACGGCCCCCAGTCCCCGGCGGCCCCGCTATTCCTGGCTACGGTGGCGACCATGGTAACGGCGGGGCAGGGGGTGCTAAGAATCTCCGGTGGAAGTTCGGTTGCCACCTTAGACGACTCCACCTGGCAACGTACAACGCACGCACCCTGAGGACTGACGAGAAGATCGTGGAGCTGGAAGAAGAGATAGACAAGTTGCGCTGGCATATTATAGGATTATCCGAAGTCCGAAGAGAGGGGGAGGACACGGTAATCCTCGAATCCGGCAACTTGCTCTATCACCGGGAGGGCGACCATCTGTCCCAAGGAGGTGTCGGATTTATCATCCACAAGTCTCTCGTTAACAACGTTGTAAAGATCGGGAGTGTGTCGACGAGGGTTGCGTACCTTATACTCAGAATCACCAAACGGTATTCGCTGAAGGTCATACAGGTTTACGCACCAACCTCGGCACACCCCGATGAGGAGGTGGAGGAAATGTATGAGGATATCTCTAGAGCCATGCATTCCTCCAAAACCCAATATACGGTGTTAATGGGAGACTTCAATGCAAAACTAGGCACAAGAGAGAACGGTGCGCTGAAAGTAGGGAAATTTGGAATAGGGCAACGGAACCCAAGGGGCCAGCAGCTGGCCGACTTCATGGAGAAAGAGGGACTCTTTATGATGAACTCTTTCTTCCAGAAGCGGCCCCACAGGAAGTGGACCTGGTCGAGCCCCGACGGTTCCACAAAAAATGAGATTGACTTCATTATGACGACCAGACGACTACTGTTCAGTGATGTCTCCGTGATCGCGAGGGTGAAAACTGGTAGCGATCATCGAATGGTTAGAGGCACACTGAACCTAAACGTTAAGTTGGAGAGGTCTCGTCTAATGAAGTCAACGCTCCGTCCCCCTCGTGCTCTGTTCCAAAGTCCCGAAACCTTTCAGCTCGAGTTACAAAACCGTTTTCAGTGCCTGGAAGACTGCAATGAAGTGGACGATATGAATGACAAGCTCGTGGAAACTGTCCATGCGGTCGGAGCTAAGTTCTGCAAGACCCGCCGCAGAAGAACACAAAAACTCTCCGATCACACTCTTAATCTCATGGCTGTTAGACGGGAGATGAAGCTACATTCTTCAACAGACTTGACAGCATACAGGCATCTGAACAGACAGATCTCCAAATGCATGCGGCGGGACTTACGCAACTTCAATACAGCTCGTATTGAAGAAGCGATCGAGCGGAACCAAGGCTCCAAAGTCTTTGCCAGAGATCTGCCTGCCAGAAAGAGCCAACTGTCAAAGCTGAAGACAAAATGTGGCAGCATCGTTTCCGGGACACCTGAGATTTTGAGTGAGATTGAGAGGTTCTATGGGCAGCTGTACACATCATCGTTGAAGCCACACGCAAGTGTGAGTAACGATCCAAGAGCGAGTCTCATCCGACACTATTCCGAAGATATCCCGGATGTCAGTCTGAGCGAGATTAGGATGGCTCTCCAGCACCTTAAAAACGGTAAGGCCCCAGGCGAGGATGGAATTACAGCGGAGCTTCTGAAAGCGGGTGGAAGACCGGTACTTGAAGTCCTTCAGAAGCTCTTTAATTCTGTCCTCCATGGTGGCATTACACCGGAGGCGTGGAGCAGAAGTGCGGTGGTCTTGTTCTTCAAGAAAGGTGACAACGCTCTCTTGAAGAACTACAGACCGATTTCCCTTCTGAGCCGCGTCTACGTGCTGTTTTCGAGAGTCATTACGAATCGTCTCGCGCGCAGACCGGCCTCCCGAACAAGCCGGTTTCCGAAAGGGCTTTAGCACCATAGACCACATACATACCCTTCGGCAAGTTGTACAGAAGTCCGAAGAGTACAATTTGCCACTATGTCTGGCGTATGTGGACTATGAGAAAGCCTTTGACTCCGTCGAAATTTGGGCGGTGCTGCAGTCCCTTCAGCGGTGCCAAGTTGACTGTCGGTATATCGAAGTGTTGAAGTGCTTGTACAGTAGGGCTACGATGGCTATCCGAGTACAGAACCAGAATACGAAACCTATCCAATTGCAGAGAGGTGTAAGACAGGGTGACGTCATATCCCCGAAACTCTTCACCGCTGCATTGGAAGACGTTTTCAAGCTTCTGGACTGGAAAGGATACGGTATCAACATCAATGGCGAGTACATCACTCACCTTCGATTTGCCGACGATATAGTCCTTATGGCAGAATCGCTGGAGGACCTAAGCACTATGCTCAATGACCTCAATAGTGTTTCCCAACGGATAGGTCTTAAGATGAACATGGACAAAACAAAGATCATGTTTAATGTCCATGTCACACCTATGCCGGTAGTTGTTGGGAGCACTAAGCTCGAAGTTGTTGACGAGTATGTTTACCTGGGACAAATAGTCCGACTAGGTAAGTCCAACTTCGACCGAGAGGTCAATCGACGGATTCAACTCGGCTGGGCAGCGTTCGGGAAGCTACGACATATCTTCTCGTCAGTCATACCTCAAAACCTTAAAACGAAATTGTACAACCAGTGCGTGTTGCCAGTGATGACTTACGGAACTGAGACGTGGTCCTTCACTGCTGGCCGGATGAGGAAGCTCAAGGTCGCTCAGCGAGCTATGGAGAGGGCTATGCTCGGAGTTTCTCTGCGTGATAAACTTAGGAATGAGGATATCCGCAGTAGAACCAGAGTGACCGACATAGCCCAACGGATTAGTAAGCTGAAGTGGCAGTGGGCCGGCCATATAGCTCGAAGAACCGACAACCGATGGGGAAGAAAGGTTCTCGAGTGGCAGCCTCGTACCGGTAGGCGAAGTGTAGGGCGTCCCCCCATGAGATGGAGTGACGACCTGGTAAGACATGCAGGAAGTCGATGGATGCAGGTGGCTCAGGACCGTGCTTTGTGGCATTCTTTGGGGGAGGCCTATGTTCAGCAGTGGACTTGTGAAGGGCTGTAATGATAATGATGATGAAACTTAAAAATAAACTATCATATATATATATATATATATATATATGTATATATATAAATACAATAAACTTATATACTATAAAATATAATACAGAGAATATATTATATTTTATTTACATACAAATATACATAAATATAAACATGTTATAAATACAAATAGATATATAACATAAATCTATAAATAAAATAACAACAAAAGTAACCAAATTGATCATATTAATCTTTTAAAAGCAGTTTTATGAGATGTTTTTCTGACGTCATCGGGCAAGGAGCTCCAGAGCAGTGCAGCCTGAATGTTGAAGGATTTACCAACAAAATTAGTAAAGTGTAGCGGGATACTTAGTTTATTATTAATGAGGACCGCAGAGTTCTATTATGCGTTAAAGAAATATACTGAAAATTTCTCCTTGACATAAGAAGGAGTGTATGGATCATTTAAGATAGAGAAGAGAACAAGCAAAATTCTAGAGTCACGCCTCTGTTTAATAGTGGGCCATTTAAGGCGTGAGCGATAGTGAGACGAATATTGAAAATGTATCTGACGCAATTGTTGAGTAGGCGCTCTAGCTTGTTAAGAAGATTTTGGTTTAAATCCGGGTAACACACGTCAGCATAATTAATGATCGGTAGTATAAGTAACTGTACAAGTATAATTTTAGCCTTAAAGTTGATTTAGTTAAAATTAAAAGCCAATTTAGTTGGTTATATTTTTAAGTGACGAGTATTTGTTAAATCAAATAAAAGAAAATATACCTAACTAAGTACTTAATACACCTACCTAATGGTAAATGGTACCGTGGCCCATAGACAACATTATCCTTACATCTATCCTAAATTGAGAATCAAAATGCAAATAAA